GGCTGTCTAGCAATGATCAACAACCAACTTGACAGAGCATGAAGAATTTTAAAAAGAATAATGTCCAAATATTGTCCAATCCAGGTGTGGAAAGCTCTTAAGAGACTAACCCAGAAAGACTCACAGCTGTAATCGCTGCCAAAAGTGATTCTAACATGTATTGACTCAGGGGTGTGAATACTTACGTGAATAAGATTTCTGTATTTCATTTTCAATAAATTAGCTAAAAATGTATAAGACCATGTTTTCACTTTGCCATTATGGGGTATTGTGTGTAGATGGGTGAGAAATAATCTATTTCATCCATTTTGAATTCAGGCTGTAACAACAAAATGTGGAATAAGTCAAGAGGTATGAATACTTTCTGAAGGCTTTGTAGAAAGTAGCCACCGAATGTCATTTTTGGGGAGTTTGGACATTTACAAGCGAATGTGAACGAGAGACATTGTCAAATGAACAAAGTTTTAAAGCTTCTCTGAAGGAAGAAGAGCACTCTGCGTCTGTGTGAAGTCTGGAGTCACTAGGGCTCGGAGAAGAGGAGCGTGGAAGGCAAGATGTCTGTACAGCTGTCAACTCATCCAAAGCGCTTTGACTTCTCAAACACGGCAGAAAGCTGACACTATATGATGCCCCGTCTCCTTATTAATTCAGCCACTTACTGAGATAACTAGCAAGTTACACCAAATACACAGCTCGACTCGTTCTCCTGTTGTGTAATTTACAAAGAAACACGTGACTGGCTCAACTGTTCTGGGGAACTACGGTAAGCTTCAGAATGCATTATACCGTGACAGGTGAAACAAAGAACGCGATCTGCTTCATCTCCTAACGTATTGCCCAAGTTGACTGCAGGTATTTACTTAAAGTAGCTGTTAGGGTTTACGACATTCGTCACCGGATGTCAGCAATACGCAGTCTACAGTTTCGTATCATAAACACACATCTCCGGCTTCCACCATGTTATGCAGTGGTCTAAGGCATGTGCAGTGCAAATAAGATCTGGTTCGCCAGTGCGCGCGGCCGCGACTCATGGGCAGCGCAATTGACCGTAGGGAGGAATGGCCGAGGATGTACTCAGTGATAAGAGCATGCGTTTGCACGCAGTTGTGGGTTGATTCACGGGGACCTGGATTCACCACATAGTCTCCATGAGTGTGTGCATGTGGTCTACTGAGGTCACTGCATATGCCATGCTAATATGCACTAGAGATATGGTTCAAAGCTGAGTGCACCGAGTTCATGTAGGCACATGCCAGGTTCCAGGTGGGAGATATGGCCAGATGTAGCAGTTGTGGCGGTATTGCACCAGGTTGTAGAATCATTCCAACAGATGAATAATAATAATAGATTAATTTGTCGAAAGACGTTTTGAGGATGTGAGCACTGTGCAACTGTTGGAACGCGTTAAAATGCATAAATCCTTTATATGCTAATACAGATATTATAGTATTTAGACTGGTTAAATGTTGGGAATGTAGTTGATTTAGAAGAACAATGCATCTTGAGTTGCTATGTTAGTACTGAGTCTCATGAAAGGCTGAGCTACATGCTTTAGCAGCAGTTTGCTTAATTCTGCATGGCTGTTAAAGTAATTCATGTATAAGATACTCAATATACAATGTATTAAAATAGAAACTGATATTCCAAACGATTTCGGGAGTGCCACTGGTGGCATTCTGTTTCGAGCGGTACAATGAAGGCTCCTCACGTCAATCTTCACATTAAAGTTATATGTAGATTAGTTGTGAAGGTTAGGGTTTATGTATGATTTAGAATACACTAATGCTGATTATAGATTTTGATTGAAAGTATTGAAGGACATGAGCTCTGTGATTTCTTGCAGGCTTACACTTATAGTCTCCATTACTGAATTGACGCAGCTTGATTAATGCTCGAATTTCAGCGCATATGGTAAGATTTAGTCTCCTGAACGGACAATAGCATTCGGTTTAGTTGGAGGTGGTAAAAGAGTATCGTCCCAATACATTTTAGTTGAAAGATTAGTAATGATCTGCAACTCATTTACTAACTGCAGGTCATTATGTTAAGTGTTCAGTATTCAGTGTTTGTGGTAATCAGCAAGGAAGGTACAGTCGATGAAGCAAGAGGGTTACGTCCCATGAATACATAAGTGAAGGTAGTGAGTATAACAGGGGAATGGTTCAGTTCAGGAGGAACAGCCAGAGGGAAGGTTACAGTCGGAGGAACCACAGAGGGATAGGTTCAGTCATAAGGGACCACAAGGGAAGGGTTACAGTCTGAGGAACCACAGAGGGAAGGGTTACAGTCGAGGAACCACAGAGGGAAGGGTTACAGTCGGAGGAAACCACAGAGGGAGGGTTACAGTCGGAGGAACCACAGAGGGAAGGGTTACAGTCGGAGGAACCACAGAGGGAAGGGTTACAGTCGGAGGAAACCACAGAGGGAAGGGTTACAGTCGGAGGAACCACAAGAGGGAAGGGTACAGTCGGAGGAACCACAGAGGGAAGGGTTGACAGTCGGAGGAACTCAAAGAGGGAAGGGTTACAGTCGAGGAACCACAGAGGGAAGGGTTACAGTCGGAGGAACCACAGATGGGAAGGGTTACAGTCGGAGGAACCACAGAGGGAAGGGTTACAGTCGGAGGAACCACAGAGGGAAGGGTTACAGTCGGAGGAACCACAGAGGGAAGGGTTACAGTCGGAGGAACCACAGAGGGAAGGGTTACAGTCGGAGGAACCACAGAGGGAAGGGTTACAGTCGGAGGAACCACAGAGGGAAGGGTTACAGTCGGAGGAACCACAGAGGGAGGGTTACAGTCGGAGGAACACAGAGGGAAGGGTTACAGTCGGAGGAACCACAGAGGGAAGGGTTACAGTCGGAGGAACCACAGAGGGAAGGGTTACAGTCGGAGGAACCACAGAGGGAAGGGTTACAGTCGAGGAACCACAGAGGGAAGGGTTACAGTCGGAGGAACCACAGAGGGAAGGGTTACAGTCGGAGGAACCACAGAGGGAAGGGTTACAGTCGGAGGAACCACAGAGGGAAGGGTTACAGTCGGAGGAACCACAGAGGGAAGGGTTACAGTCGGAGGAAACCACAGAGGGAAGGGTTACAGTCGGAGGAACCACAGAGGGAAGGGTTACAGTCGGAGGAACCACAGAGGGAAGGGTTACAGTCGGAGGAACCACAGAGGGAAGGGTTACAGTCGGAGGAACCACAGAGGGAAGGGTTACAGTCGGAGGAACCACAGAGGGAAGGGTTACAGTCGGAGGAACCACAGAGGGAAGGGTTACAGTCGGAGGAACCACAGAGGGAAGGGTTACAGTCGGAGGAACCACAGAGGGAAGGGTTACAGTCGGAGGAACCACAGAGGGAAGGGTTACAGTCGGAGGAACCACAGAGGGAAGGGTTACAGTCGAGGAACCACAGAGGGAAGGGTTACAGTCGGAGGAACCACAGAGGGAAGGGTTACAGTCGGAGGAACCACAGAGGGAAGGGTTACAGTCGGAGGAACCACAGAGGGAAGGGTTACAGTCGGAGGAACCACAGAGGAAGGGTTACAGTCGGAGGAACCACAGAGGGAAGGGTTACAGTCGGAGGAACCACAGAGGGAAGGGTTACAGTCGGAGGAACCACAGAGGGAAGGGTTACAGTCGGAGGAACCACAGAGGGAAGGGTTACAGTCGGAGGAACCACAGAGGGAAGGGTTACAGTCGGAGGAACCACAGAGGGAAGGGTTACAGTCGGAGGAACCACAGAGGGAAGGGTTACAGTCGGAGGAACCACAGAGGGAAGGGTTACAGTCGGAGGAACCACAGAGGGAAGGGTTACAGTCGGAGGAACCACAGAGGGAAGGGTTACAGTCGGAGGAACCACAGAGGGAAGGGTTACAGTCGGAGGAACCACAGAGGGAAGGGTTACAGTCGGAGGAACCACAGAGGGAAGGGTTACAGTCGGAGGAACCACAGAGGGAAGGGTTACAGTCGGAGGAACCACAGAGGGAAGGGTTACAGTCGGAGGAACCACAGAGGGAAGGGTTACAGTCGGAGGAACCACAGAGGGAAGGGTTACAGTCGGAGGAACCACAGAGGGAAGGGTTACAGTCGGAGGAACCACAGAGGGAAGGGTTACAGTCGGAGGAACCACAGAGGGAAGGGTTACAGTCGGAGGAACCACAGAGGGAAGGGTTACAGTCGGAGGAACCACAGAGGGAAGGGTTACAGTCGGAGGAACCACAGAGGGAAGGGTTACAGTCGGAGGAACCACAGAGGGAAGGGTTGACAGTCGGAGGAACCACAGAGGGAAGGGTGACAGTCGGAGGAACCACAGAGGGAAGGGTTACAGTCGGAGGAACCACAGAGGGAATGGGTACAGTCGGAGGAAACCACAGAGGGAAGGGTGACAGTCGGAGGAACCACAGAGGGGAAGGGTACCGTCGGAGGAACCACAGAGGGAAGGGTTACAGTCGAGGAGGAACCACAGAGGGAAGGGTTACCGTCGGAGGAACCACAGAGGAAGGGTTACAGTCGGAGGAACCACAGAGGAAGGGTTACAGTCGGGAGGAACCACAGAGGGAAGGGTTACAGTCGGAGGAACCACAGAGTGAAGGGTTACAGTCGGAGGAACCACAGAGGGAAGGGTGACAGTCGGAGGAACCACAGAGGGAAGGGTTACAGTCGGAGGAACCACAGAGGGAAGGGTGACAGTCGGAGGAACCACAGAGGGACGGGTTACAGTCGGAGGAACCACAGAGGGACGGGTTACAGTCGGAGGAACCACAGAGGGACGGGTTACAGTCGGAGGAACCACAGAGGGAAGGGTTAGTCGGAGTACCGACTGGTTAGGCATTCCGGTTTATAGATTTGACTTCGGTGACGGGAAGTTTCTCAGAAATGGGTCAAACAGAGGGCTGTTAAATATGTTTTTGGAGTACGGGATGTTGCCTTCAGCGACAGGAGACCAAGTACAGGTCTCCACATGAACTACTGAATACACTCCTTCAGACAGAGGCAAATCCATCAACCCTGGTAGGACGAGCACACTTCCTTCTACACCAGGAAACATTGGTCAAAGTTATCAGGAACATAAAACAGCAAAGAAAGAGTGTACAGTTCAGTATATTAATGTCCTCTGATATTTCACAAGTCAGACTTGGAAGAGGGCCTTCTTTCTCACAGCATGGTATTAAATGTTTCCATTAGAGCAGAGTGTCTCCTGCATTACCTTGGTGATGAGCAGTGGTTCTCGGTGTTCTCTGCCTCCTTTGAGTGTGAACCCCCATGGAGCCCCCCCGGAGAGCAGGACATCTACCAGCCGCCACCCCTCCACCCCATCCCGGTTCCTCTGATCCATGTCTTCCGTTCTCTCCATCAGCCATGGGTTGTGATCGCCATCAGAATACCGGGGGTCACTCCTACTATCCAAGGTGTCCATGGTGCTTAGAAAAACAGCTCACTTGATAAAAGACAGAGGGGTCCATTTTCAATAAAATAAAATAAAAGCTTTTTCTTGATAGCTGAAAAAAAAACATTTTACTACACCACTTCTATGCCTACTCCTGTGTCAGCACATGTTCACACTCCAGACTGTAACGCCCGATGTCCACCAGATATATATGCGTTTTGTTTTGCCAGATGTCTAGCCCACATTTTTCGTACTTGATGCACCTGCTTCGCTTTTAAACTAGCTAAATGTTAGCGACTTGGACTATGTGTGTACTTCCGTGTGTACCACCGCACGGCAAAGCAAAGCAGGAGTGGAACATATTGAAGTCGCACCCCAGCCCAGTGCGGCATCCCCAATGTAGGGTTGCGGACTGCTCCATTGCCAATGAATGACTTCCGCCGGAACGCAAAGAGTTTAATGAATCTGGTGGACATGAGGCGTAATGCTCTTAGTTGAGACTTAAACATGTTGTCGGCATGCAGGGTTGAACTAACGTTAGCTAAATAACCCATCCAAATACATTGGGAGTGGGACCCCTGCTTTGTGGGTTACTGTAATAAGTTATCACATGAACAGGCAAAGTTGTATCTAGCTGGTTAACTAAAATACTTTCAATGTCATATTTAACTTGCCAGCTAAAATTATTGTTCAACAACAAACTCGCAAAGTCTCACGCACGTCAAGCTAGTTAATGTTAGCTAAACTAGCTCCAAACTAGCAGTAGATTAGCTATTTTTCCAAACACATGGAGATACCTCGGACGGGCTGAAAACCGGAATATAAATTCAATAAAGCATAACACTAGACTTGAAAATAAATTACAAACATTCAGGCATAACAAACTGTTTGCTACAGTAATTCATTTTAGAGGCTTAAACTCGATAGTGTTCAATGTTGTTTCCGCCGACGTTAGCTACCTGGGAATTCAATCTGTTGAAGGTGACCAATCTCGCCCGGTTCGCTATGTCGACGAGCACAGCATTACAAGTTATGCATTCTTCATAATATTCGTCACTTGTCTTCTGCCAATTAACGAAATAAGAGGAATTATCTAGTTAACAAATCGTTTTCAAGCGAACCACCTTTTATAAAACAAGAGACTAGCTAGCATGCTAGTTTATTAACCTGTGGATTGAGTCGCCTGCCAATGTAATGGATTACACAGCAGCCTGGTGTCATGGACTACACATAACATAGTACACGTAAATCCAGGATACTCCCTGAGGATGATATGTTAAAGGTATACTTCGGGGTTTTGGCAATGAGGCCCATTATCTACTTCCCCAGGGTCAGATGAACTCGTGGATACTATTTTAAGTCTCTGTCCTGTATGAAGGAAGTTAGAGGTAGTTTTGTGAGCCAATGCTAACTAGCGTTAGGGCAATGGCTGGAAGTCTATGGGTATCTGCTAGCATGCTAGCACATATAATACGAATTGTATTTCGTAACATATCATATGAAATGTATGATGGACAACCACACATTAATACATACCCTACGAAACGTAACATTTAGCATTTGTGTTTTGTTACAAATGTACTTTTACTATGTTACATCTACCCGTGAGTCTAGGTTGATCTACCAAATTGCCAGAGAGCGTCTGATATATACTACAACAGCACCACCTGGTGTTGTAGACATGTTGTTGCTTTACCTCAAATATGATGACAGTAGTTTTGGGGTAGAGACTAGACTAATCTATAGAGCTCGCCAGCTTGAAGTAGGCAGGGAAACCCGTTTTGGTGATTTCTGGTATATCATCAAAATAAATAAATCACATCACGTTTTTGGACTCATTTAGACTTTACAGTGAAACGCTACGAGCACTTTCCAGACAGTTAAAAAGTAAGGAAATTGTCAAATAAAAAATTAAAAATTGTAACACAATAGATAATAATGAGGCTATATACAAGGAGTAGCCTGTACCGAGTCAATGTGCTGGGGTAGGTAGGGGTAATAGTCACTAGGCAATCAGGATAGATCATCACAGTGGTGTAAAGTACTTAAGGAAAAATACTTTAAAGTACTACTTAAGTCGTTTTTTGGGGGTATCTGTACTTTACTTTACTATTTATATTTTTGACAACTTTTACTTCATACATTCCTAAAGAAAATAATGTACTTTTTACTCCATACATTTTCCCTGACACCCAAAAGTACTCGTTACATTTTGCATGCTTAGCAGGACAGAAAATAGTTCAATTCACACACTTAAGAGGAGGTCGTCGGGTAAGCTTGGCGTCGGGTAAGTTTGGCTTTATACATAGCTTGGGCTTTGTCGAGTAAGGCTTAAACTATGTATTTAGATTGTAGTTAGGTATTGTAGGTAGGTATCGTGGGTTGTTGTATGTAATTATTGTAGGTTAGTACTGTATTCGGCGGTGCCGGGTGTAGCACGAAGCTAGCTAGCTAGCTAACTCACCACCTGGACTAGCTGGCGAGTAGCTATTAGCAACGGTATAGTTGTCTCACGCCTGAGAGTGCTTGTAATTACGCCAGCTGGCTGCCTACAATAATTACATACAAGAACTACCTACCATTCAGCTGTTTTCTAACCTCATTGTCTGAACCGTTAACGTTAGGTAGCAAGTGGCTACTGTGCTTGAAATTTAGCTAGCTTGTTGCTACCTGGATAGCGACTAGTAAACAATAGCTGGAACGACCGAGCGAACAGATGCGAACTGGCTGAGTCAATTCAGTGGCTAGCTTTGCACTTGGCTAGCTAACAGTAGCTGCTAGGGGTAAGTCATAACCTACACTTGTGTTTTGTTCTTTACATATTGATAGCCCGAGTCGTTCAAGGAATTCGGGACATGGGTGACTAGTTAACGTTAGTTTGGCTCTCTTTGTGTTCGTGCCGTGAAAGGAGGGGTTCTTCTTTGTCTGAAAGCAATGGCTAGCTAGTTTGCTAACTAACTGGCTGAATAAGTTGACGACGGACTCGCTCAAGCTGTCGGGACTAACCCACAACGTTAGACACGGACACGAACGATCTGCTTGCGTGTTGATACACTGGTGGTTTGTTGTGGCCGAGTATTGGCGCTAAACCGTGTTGTTGGAGTCCGGCATGCTAGCTGGCTGTGGCGTCTTATGACGAGGTGCCCGGACGTTTTTCACGGAATAATACTGCACCTAGTTAGCTAGCTGAATAAACTAAGTTAGTCTATTCCTAGAAAACATTGAGCCGCTGTAGTTTACAACAATTATAGTTTCTGAGGTGGAAGTTGGGAGAGTTATATTTGGGAGTTGTGGTGAGGGAGGCCCCGCTCTCTCCTTTCCCAGATGTTTAGTTCATTTCATTCCGATCTCCTCTGCATTATTGTAGCCATCTGCTGCAGCCTGTCAACTATGCCTCTGCCTATCCCTGTTCTCTCCTCTCCGCACAGGCTACACAAACGCCTCACACCGCGTGGCTGCTGCCTCTCTAACCTGGTGGTCCCTGCACGCACGACCCACGTGGAGTTCCAGGTCTCAGGCAACCTCTGGAACTGCCGTTCTGCTGCCAACAAGGCAGAGTTCATCTCAGCCTATGCTACCCTCCAGTCCCTCGACTTCTTGGCGCTGACGGAAACATGGATTACCACTGAAAACACTGCTACTCCTGCTGCTCTCTCCACGTCTGACCATGTGTTCCCCGAGAGCATCTGGTCAGCGGGGTGGTGGCACAGGAATCTTCATCTCTCCCAAGTGGACATTCTCAATTTTTCCCCTGACCCATCTGTCTATCTCCTCATTTTAATTCCATGCTGTCACAGTCACTAGCCCATTTAAGCTTAATATCCTGGTCATCTATCGCCCTCCAGGTTCCCTTGGAGAGTTCATCAATGAGCTTGACGCCTTGATAAGTTCCTTTCCTGAGGATGGCTCACCCCTCACAGTTCTGGGGGATTTCAACCTCCCTACGTCTACATTTGACTCATTTCTCTCTGCCTCCTTCTTTCCACTCCTCTCCTCTTTTGACCTCACCCTCTCACCACCCCCCCCCCCTACTCACAAGGCAGGCAATACGCTTGACCTCATCTTCACTAGATGCTGTTCTTCTACTAATCTCACTGCAACTCCCCTCCAAGTCTCCGACCACTACTTTGTATCCTTTTCTCTCTCCCTCTCCTCCAACACTACTCACTCTGCCCCTACACAGATGGTAATGCACCGTCGCAACCTTCGCTCTCCCTCTTCCGCTACTCTCTCCTCTTCCATCCTATCATCTCTTCCCTCTGCTCAATCCTTCTCCCTCCAATCTCCTGATTCTGCCTCCTCAACTCTCCTCCCCTCCCTTTCTGCATCCTTTGACTCTCTATGTCCCCTATCCTCCCGGCCGGCTCGGTCCTCCCCTCCAGCTCCGTGGCTTGATGACTCATTGCGAGCTCACAGAACAGGGCTCCGGGCAGCCGAGCGGAAATGGAAGAAAACTAGACTCCCTGCGGACCTGGCATCTTTTCACTCCCTCCTCTCTACATTCTCTTCATCTGTTTCTGCTGCTAAGGCCACTTTCTATCACTCTAAATTCCAAGCATCCGCCTCTAACCCTAGGAAGCTCTTTGCCACATTCTCCTCCCTGCTGAAACCAACACTCAATCCCTCTGATGTCAACAACTACAGACCAGTATCCCTTCTTTCTTTTCTCTCCAAAACTATTGAGCGTGCCGTCTTTAGCCAACTCTCTTGCTATCTCTCTCAGAATGACCTTCTTGATCCAAACCAGTCAGGTTTCAAGACTGGTCATTCAACTGAGACTGCTCTTCTCTGTGTCACGGAGGCTCTCCGCACTGCTAAAGCTAACTCTCTCTCCTCTGCTCTTGTCCTTCTAGACCTGTCTGCTGCCTTTGATACTGTGAACCATCGGATCCTCCTCTCCACCCTCTCCGAGCTGGGCATCTCCGGCGCGGCTCACTCTTGGATTGCGTCCTACCTGACCGGTCGCTCCTACCAAGTGGCGTGGCGAGAAGCTGTCTCCGCACCACGTGCTCTCACCACTGGTGTCCCCC